AGAGAGAGAGAGAGAGAGAGAGAGAGAGAGAGAGAGAGGGAGAGAGAGAGAGATTGATTGATTGACACAGGTTCACAATTTTTTATTACGCCGCACATCTGTGGGACCTATGGTCTTTCCCCCCCCCCCCTTCCTTGACTCATAACACGCTGGTGAGCGAGCCAGCGAGGGACGGTACACACACGACACGGCGAGACAGGGGGAAAGGAAAGGAACGAGGCATGTGCCTTATTCTTTCTTTGTCTCTCGCATGTACACCGTTCTCTCTCCCGTTCTCTCTCCCCTCCAATGCAGTCGCGGCCGTCCTTTTCGGCCGCGTTTTTTAGAAGTTCATTTGTGATATATAGGATATGCGCCAACTCCCCCACCACTCAAAGCCGGCGGGAAAGTGGTCCTAGGACATTTGTTGAGCACTCCCGTGCCTTGAATTTTATTTTTGCGGCCGCTATGAGGACCTTCGTTTCGCGTGCCCACCGGTCGACTATACGCAAGATAACACCCCCTCCTACATACACAACTTGTGTTTTTTCAACGGCCGTGCTATGGGTCCTGGCCGCGTTTCGTTTGTTTCTACGCTGAAACAGAGTAAAGGTAGATCTCGGTCTTGAAGTTATAATGATTAAGTGATTTGGGGTGGCGCACAGCAGAAACATGCCAAAAATCTATTACTTCCCCCTGACCACGGAGCGGAGCAGGGACATTTATGTTGATATCTCGGCTGCGATTCGACCGATTGTGCCGAAATTCTGAGGGAAGATGTGGGGCGCATTGACCGCGAAGCCTGCAAAAGCACAAGACCGTTGTCGCAAAATTCATTTTTTCGTCTTAGAATTACTGTTTTACCCCGAAAGTGTAGAAGTTTGGCTGCATAACTCCTCGTCGTAATTGTTGTAAGTCAGAAGCAAATGAGCTTTCGACACACGCACGCGACAATTGTCCAGAACGGCGGGGATTTAAAGTACTCCCGTGCCTCAAATTTTATAAGGAGCTCGATGAAGCAAGCATAGCGTCAAGCCTGGCGCCTTCCAATAGTGCCCTCTCTGTTGCTGCTGCCGACACAGGCATAATGCCAGGCGAACCACCCAACTATCCACGTGGGCCTTACAGCGATTTACATCGTGCCGTGGCGAGCGGATCCACAAGGCGTGTCAGCATGCAGCTCGACACGGGGATCGACATCAACATCGCGAGCGACCCTGCGAAGGACACGCCCCTCATCATCGCCTGTCGCCATGGTGAGTTGGCATTGGTCCAGCTTCTTCTCGACAGGGGTGCCGACACGGAGCGTACTAACCAAGAAGGCAGGACCGCACTCTTTGAATCACTTCACTACCCTAGAATTGCGAGGATCCTCATCGACCGCGGTGCAAACCACGGGGCACAGGATAACCATGGTGCCACACCGCTGCTGCTGGCTGCCACCCGAAAGAGCGGCTGTGCCGGACAAGCTGTGACGGAGATGTTACTTCAGCATGGAGCCAATCCCGACACGGCAGACAACAGCGGATTTACACCGCTTCACATCGCTGCTTCAAGGCAGTGCTGTGCGTTCATGTCTCTGATCCTTGGTGCTGGAGCGGGAGTTAACGCCCGTCATCGACCAGGCGGGGAGACGCCACTTTTTGTTGCCGCTAGGCTCGGAAGGCTGTTGTCGGTGAAAGTTCTCCTCCGTTTCAAAGCGGATGCACTGCTTCCCGCGCAGTTCGAGAATAGAAAAGATAAGTGGCTGCCACTCGACGTCGCGGCGCACCGTGGCCACCTCGCCGTCGTTCGCGAGCTGGTGCAGCAAGTCGGACTCGGGGGCTGTGGGGGTCCATCTGGTGGTGCGGATGCTCTCGTGATTACCGCAAGCGAGGGTAGACTGGACATCATGGCCTTCCTCTTGGACGCCGGCGTGGTAGACAATGGTGACGGCCTTCGATCTGCCATCAAGGCGGGTCACAGCAAGTCCGTGCGGCTTCTGATGGAGCGGCGAGCGGGGGATGTGAAGCAGTACGTTTCGTCGGAAAGCATCGGTGATGAGGCACGAACCGTTCTGTTCCATTGCTTCCATGCACAGGCACTGGCACCTTCTTCATGTAGAATCATGCAGACACTTATTGAGGCCGGGGCGACCACTCGCGTCAACGTGATGATAAACTACGAAGACAGACCGCCTACTATGTTGACCGATCTGGTGCAGTACGCCGACTACCTGATCAACCGCGGTAGAACAACTCTAACCGCAGAGGAGGAGATGATGCATGGACTCAGGGGTTTGCGTCGCCTGCTCATGCAGAAAGAGGCGGTGACTGCTACTTCGTGGGCGTGGCCGGCCGGAGAGGGGGGCATGCGCTGTGGGGGCACCAGGGGCATCAGGCGCACCAAGAAAAAAACGAAGCCATCTGCAGCTCTGGCGACGATGATGCCGCTGCTGAGGCGCCGGGATGCGAAGCGCGGGATGGCTCTGCGCGCCCTTACCAGGTGTGTGTATGTGTGTGTGTTTTCACAATATGCTAACAAAACGGCAAATTTGTAGCGCGGCGGCCAGAAACAAAACTCCTTCCGTTCGTTTGAATCTGTTTTTACAGGCGCAAATCGACGGCGACCTGAGTTCGCAACAAGCACTTGGGCGTCACGAAGGCGCTGATCAAGGCTGGCATCGCATGTAGACGGCAATCGGTCAGCTGCAGCTCTCCTATTTATTTAAAATGTCTACCACCTGACATCAGCGCGTGTCAGCTGCAGCACGGGGTAAGAGATCGGACTCGCCCAGCGGACGATCCGTGCCGGAAGCCCCTATGTGCGCCGAAACCAGCCCCCGAAAACGCGCACCCGGTCCCGAGTGCGCAATTCCACATCTTACGGCCACCGGAAAAATACGCCGGCTTGTGGATTGGAAGAAATCGGATTCTTTCTTGAAGTCGCGCCCCGCGCCAGGCGGAGAACATAGGCCCCCCGCTAGGGCTCTGATCGGTGTCGCTTGTGTCACTGGTTATTTCATTGGAAACAAACATTCCTGGGCTGTGTCACTGGCATCAACTACTAAAATGTTGACACTACACAAGATGGAAAACCTACTTGAGGTTTGCGAGTCAGCCTGAAAAAACGTGGGGCATTCGCGTTTCCAATGAAGGAAACCATCAGGGCGTTCAACATGAGCGAAGATGACCCCAAAACTGTGACAATTGTGCGCGACAAAAACGATATTGCCAACATGAAGATGTCTGCCACACTGTACAACCGGCGATTGTACGGGGAGCGCGTGCTGAGCGCCCCTGAGCAAGACTCCGAAGGGGACATTGGCTTACTTTTTTGCAACAGTGTGGTGTGTACGTGGGATCACGTCAAATCGGCTTCGGAGTGGAGAACCTTTTTGAAGTATTGTGCTACAACCGAAGACTGGTTGTGCACGACCTGTAGCACACCAGATGTGCCAGCGACGCAGGTTGTGTCATGCACAAAGTGCTTTCAGTGGCTCTGCAGAAAATGCGCCGGGGAAATGGCAGTGGGAAAGTGCCCAACGTGCATGGGTACGCTTTGTGCGTGGGATTAATGGAATTTATTATTTTTTGGCAAATCGAATCTTGTTGACACGTTTAGAAAAAAACAGAACGGTGAAAACCCCCGCTTGCGCTTGGACTTGACCGATGTCGTCATCTCGTGTGCGATGTGGTCAGGTCGCCGGGCTCCTCTGATCAATTCTTCATAATCGTACCAGTCGATGAGCCAGAAGTCAAATAGTTCAACATCCTCGTCTTTCATTATTGACCAGCGACGTCCGTCTGCGTAGCTCGAAAGAAGGTTCCACTGATATTGCGTCTTGAATACGGCGTCGAAGCGAGAGTCCCATGTGTTCTGCGAAAAATACTTCGCATCAGGAAATAACATTCTCATAGGTACGAGATCATTGTGCAGGTTTTCCAGCGCGTTTCTTGCCTCTTCTTCAGTTGGTTTCCAGTTGGTGATTTGTGATGCCATATTTCTCGTAGGAAGTGTGAGACGGAATGCGCGTTTTAAAGTTCATAACTTTCGGGTAAACTTTCGTTTGCTGACATCGGGGCTCGACTTATCCTCGACACGGAGAGAGATCCGATGATGAGTCATCCCGGTGAATACTCGTTGTTCCCGGCTCAAAATCAATGGCGACGGAAATGAGACACCCGTGGCCGACGCCAAAACACTCATCGAAATCATATGGCTCCTCCCCGGAAAAAAGGCGCGTGACTTCCGCTACAAGAGCTCGGAAAAGGTCTGTCGTTTGCTCGGCGGGGACATGTCCCTCGTATCCGAAATCGAGGCCCACCACACTTCGCTTCAGAGCAACGAGGAGGGCCGCGCGACCCAATCCTTCCTCCTCAATCATCACCGTCAACTTGTCGTAGCAAAAGGCGGGAGGCGGGGGTGCGTCTCGCTGTGAAACCACGAACACAGCAGTCGCGGACGGATCACACCTTGTGGCGGAGATTCTCCGAAATAGTAAGGAAGGTGTAAGTGCGCCGATGGTGTGCAAATCGATAAATAAGTACTCTGGGAGAGAAAACGACGGCACCATTGTGGTCGAAGGCAATCCTGCCACGGACGAAGAAAATGAGGGGCCACGGAGATTACCTTGTGGCGGAGATTCTCCGAAATAGTAAGGAAGGTGTAGGTGCGCCAATAGTCTGTAAATCCGAGGCCGCTAGCCAAGGGTTGCTCTCATAGCGAAGGGCGTGATTGAGCAGCGTGCGTGCGGTATAACGAGTGGTTTGCGCAGTGCGTGCCGTGGTGATGCGAGCTACACGCTTTTCCCTAATTTTAAACGAGACGATCCTCAGCCGCCAAGACATCATGGTCAACAACGCGGTCGCCGTCGCCACGCCGCTGCTTCAGGACTCGAGCATGCCTACGCACGAGCTTGGCGCTGAGCACAAGGGAAAAGAGACAGGAATCGTGATGGTTTCGTCCAAAATCGGCATAAGGGTTCCGTCAAACATGTCTGGAGTAGTTGGCAAAATGATGAAGAAGCTTTACATTAAGAAGTGTGAGTTTTCTAATAGGTCTCTTAGTTATATGCCAAAGTTTCGAAAATATTATGTTGTCCAAGAGTATGAAACAAGCAAAAAATATACTGATGGCCGAGCAGACGCCAAATTGTATCGACATTCTCCGCAAATACAAGACGGACTGTGGGAAGATGGAACGCGTATCCACCGCTGCGTACACCACCCTTGTGTCACCGAGTAGTCATACGCAATTTTTGTCCAAACTCTTGGCAATATCGAAACAAGATATTGAGTTAAGCCAGGAGGTGGTCGCATCATTCAAGACACTCATGAATCATGCACGTGATTGCTCACGTGGCCGGCTGCAGTATACTGCGAAGTGTGTACCTCCTGGCCACAGAGACATCGGGCACGAAATCGAAAACAACCGAATAAGGGAGATATACTTGGAGATGCAGAAATCATTTTCGCGGATGAAACGGCAATTGAAAGAGAGCGCAGAATCCTGTCGCATCGAGGAGCTTCTGCCAGAAGAAGGAGAAGGAGATGTCAAATCTGACATGTACGATTGGCTAAACGAGGGCGAGGCGAAGGAAGAAGAAGAAGCCAAGGGAGGAGAATCAGATGCAGGTCCAGATGCGTCCGAACGGGTGTACTCGGACACTGCACAACGACAGGAACAAATACGACAAGAACGAAATTTGAAGAAGCAGGAACGCCAACGACACAGAGAGAATATTCGATTGCTACAGGAGCAGGTTCGTGAATCACGCGAGTCGCAACTTTCTGATATACGGATGCACCTCGAAAATTTCGGGTCGTTTTTTACGGACAGCATGACGGTAAGGACTGTCGGTAGACATGCGGAAAAAAAGCATATAATTCAGTTTAACAAGCTCGGAGGGCTGTATTTCACCTTTGACCAAGTGACAAACATTATTCTGTACTCAAAACTAAATGCAGACATGTTTATTAATTTTGTACATTCAACGTACCTGCTTCGACCACACGAGTCGCTGACTGGTGTCACCACCACAGACTGTATCGCATGTCTGAAACGTATCTCGGCACGAAAATACCTCGCAGAGATACTCAGACCCCCTCACTCTCAAGAGACGATGATTTACCTTCTGTTGACCGCTCCCAAAGATTCCGTCTTGGACAATCTCGATCATCTTGCGCGCATAGATCCTTATGTATTTGACATGCTACGGTACGTTTCACCAACTCTTCCTGATAGAGTTTTAAGCAGAGAGAAAAACGTTACCACCGGCGAATCCCATTTGTTCGAACTCGCAAGCAACCCGCCAGATAGGTTTCAGTTTATCTTGGGAACAGTTTCCAAGGCGATCACTTTTGCGATGGAAAGAAAGAAATCATTTTTGTCGCTTGAGGATTTCTCGAAAGCATTCAATGTTTCACACAAAATCGCGCTGCGTATCATGGCGTCGGATGGGAGTAGGGACGGTGTATCGATACCCATTGACAAACCCAATCAAGAAATTGCATGCATTACGTCTGTGAAGGATGGTATTGCGTACAACGTCGTAGTGCGATGTCTGGTCAAACGCCAGAATTTTGTCATACCCGAAAAATTTCGGTCAGCCGTGCGAACTGCTCAAGATGTGTACATCACTGGTTTTTCTACATCGTATCTTGTAAATGGAAAAAGAATGCATGGCGCAGACACTACGTTGCGTCAAAATGACACGGTTGTAGAAACAAGGTCACGTATTCACACAGGTGTAATTCACCCGTTTGACTATAAAAACCTGGAATTTGAGTGTTATGTTTGAATAATGCGCTCAGTTGGCTCCGGTAGCAGGAGCTTGTGAAGTTCGGTTGAATAATGACTATCCCAGCGCTCCGGTAACAGGAGAGGCGGAAATTGCATTCCGCTGTACCATCGGCCCGCAAGATATCTGAGCTTGATTACCATGACTTTGTTGACATGAAAAAAGCGATTTTGAAACACATTATCAAAATTCGTGCGCAAGCAAAAAAGGTGCAACAGTGCTTTCAAACGACAACTTGAGGATGATTCAGGTGGTCGAAGACTCACAGGTCGTCGTGGTCCGACGAGTCTTGCGAGCGAGTCTGCAAGTAAGTGAGCCTCGTGTACATTTTTTCTATTTTTTGCGCGTTCAAAACTTTCCGCACGCTGTTGCTCATGTACTTCACAAGGCCTCGCTCACCCTGGTACGTGCGCAATGACATATAACTTATTCAACAGACATCTAGACACCTCGCCGACTGAGAAGCCCGCACCTATCTGGGTGCACGAGAACGGCGCTGTGAAGATTCGCACACACAGATATTGAACAAGGGTATCCATTTCCAGCATTTCCCAGCGGTGCCCCTTTTCTCCCCGCGAGCACACATCCATCAACACCGAGCTCTTGACAGACGCGGCCAACACAGAGGACGCGACGACACTCATCGCCGGCTACAGCAATCGAGAGGTGAGCATATGCAGGGCAGGACTCGTGGCGGTAGCATCTGAGAGATAGAGAGAGAGAGAGAGAGAGAGAGAGAGAGAGAGAGAGAG